TCTCCGGCCAAGTAGGCCACTGATGCAGTCTGATTCGACTGCGAGATAGTTCAGACATTCCTTAACCGGTTTCGAACGCATATATCATCAAGGTAGGGATGAAACGATACGAGTAAATATAAGTACATACTCGATACTTTTCGTTCGATAGCAAGTAATTTGGCATCGATACTTTTGAACCAAGTACTGAGTAGGTTTCGAAAAATAAGTACTCGTATCGAAACCCGATACCAAGTTAAATTTTGCTCCTAAATTTTTTCCTCCACGTTTATGCCTAATATGATGGTCCTGTGCTTTTTGGCACTCTCTTTTTACAAATTCATAAATGCTACATCAAAAAAAAGGAACACGTATTTTTTTATTAAAAAAAAAAAAAAAATTTTGGAGGTCGCGCTAGTCGGTTTTTTATAAAAACGCTGATGTTTTCAATTTTTATTTTTGTGACATGTTATAGTGCAGCTAAAAGTGTTGTTTTTACATGTGATCACTCAGGTATTATTGGGGAATATTCTCTTAATTACATACCATTCTTGGACACTTAGAATGGGACTAGTGCCCGAAAATATGCTTTCGAAAAGAGACAGCTAAAATTAAAACGTTGTTATGAGTTCAACTCGTTACCAGGGGGTTTCTGGGGTCGCTGATTACGCATCTGATGTCTGTGTCTCAAAACTCAAAATGGCTGCACCAATATGGCGATCAATTTCTTAGAAATTACTAAAATTAAAACGTTGATACTAAACGTTTTAAGCATTATCATGGTTTAAAACTCGGTACGGTTGCTTTTTTTATCCAGCCCAGTATTCTCCCTGAAGTCGAACCCATTAGATGGGATTAGCTAAGAACTGTGTTTCCTTTGTTGTATAAACAAGCACGATCATATTCACATATAGTTGCAGCATTTGTTCCTTGCGAACGGTTGTTTTCGAAAGCAGGAGCAACAGTAACCACGTCAGGAATTCGGTTGGCTGGCAAATATTTGGAAAAACTTCTATTCTTGGAAAGTAAAACAAAATAAGACTTTTTAGCTGAAATATTTTATTAGTAAATATTTTCTTAAATAAGATTAACTTGTAATCTTTTCCAATGTATATGTCTCAGTGTAAATTCCATTTATCATTAAACATATAATTCTGCTGTGTAACGGAATTTTATTTATTTTCAGTTCCTACATTATTAAATTTTTTTATTTGAAGTTTAGGATTCCCAGAGAATGATTAACTTCTTATTGAAAAAATAAATTTAACTCAATACACCATGAGTACCGATACGAGTAGGTATCGATACTTTAGGTGCGATATTTTTCAGGCATCGATACTTTTATTCGATACTACTTCCAAGTAAAAGTATCGATACCTGCATGGTATCGTTTCATTCCTACATCAAGGTACTAGGGGTCCTGATTACCGCCTAGCTAAGATGCTATATGGTTCCCTCCTTATACTTTAAAGCTCACCTAACTCGCTCTCTTTATTACGGTAACCTCAGCTTGGAAAACACTGCAATCTTCCGGCAGCTTAAACTTGAAGATCTATCTGCGAATGTATTGACAGCGCCATTGTTCCAGATAATATACGCCGCCCAGTCCTTCTTTGGGGTAATGTGAGAAATGAAATATTGACTCGGACATAGAATTGATGAGTAGTAGTCAATTCGGGCCAGAAAGATCTTCAGAGTGCCTAGTCCCCTTAGCTTCTTATTAGTTTATATATTAAACTATGATTGTTCGTAACTTTATGGTCAAGAATATTAAACATTTCGCTCACTTTACTTAATATATTTTGCTAAGTATTTCATCGCCACTATACTAAACTCTAGAGAAATCAACAGAAGTAAGGAACCAACTTTATCTTGGAACCTTGGATTTAACGAGGTTTTTCCAGCTCATCCCTCTCCACTTTGAGGTTCGAAATATGAATACGGTCATACCCGCTGACAGGTTATATCACTCTTTAGCACAACAATGCCACTTCTATTAATTTCGGACTACTCCAAACCGTCAAAACGTCAAGCCCCAGCAATTTAGTTGGCGCACTTGGCAGGCACTTCGCGCCTCAGTGCATCGTTTTGCAATGCAATTATATGAATATTATTATAATGAGAACTAATTCAATTAGATTGTGTTGTTTTTGCCAATTCGACGTAGCGTGGCAATCAAATACATGAATATATATGTATATCTACGTGCATGTGCACTAGTCGATGCCACAGTTGCATTGCCTCATTCACCTCGATTCGCTGCACCTCCCATAAGCGCCCGAGCTGCTGTGTAGGCCAATTCGTGGGCAGCAGCTGGCAATTAAGTTGCGCTTAAGCAGACAGCGTTATGTGGCTCATTAGCAAAGCAAACAGAGAGCAACAAAAGCTGAAAATTAGCGATACAATTTTACTTTTCATGCTGCCATCGCGAAGCAAAATCAAAATAAAAGAGGCATTCTAAAAACTTTGCTGCTTTGGCTGCCATTCTGTTGGTGCAATGAATTGCGAGCACTTTGTTGGCATCGAATTTGTTCTTTGACTCTTGAATCTATACACACACACACACACACACACAGATAAATGCATTTTAACGATTCCATCGCTCACTTATGTATGTAGCTTTTGTCTGGTGCTTAACTTTTATTACACAATTTTCATAATCTCCACGTTCGCACATAATTTACACCCGAATAAGGTTCGCGTCGCGCCTTTATTTATTATTGGCAATTAAAGTTAGCACAACGCAACGCGCAACGCGCAACTTATGCGACGACTCTGCCCTGCATACATACATACATACATACATATGCAACGAGACAGTGACCACCAAACCGCTAGCCACTAGCCACTAGCTACTGGTCACTGACCACCGGTCGCCACAGCCAGTTGTTGTTGGCCAAACATGCAAGTGCAGCTCAAAACAAAGCGAGCCGTCAACCCCAATTGAGCCGTTAAGCGAACTGAATGCCGTCCGTGGTGACTCTAAGCATGTTGTTGTTGTTGGCTTTGGCAGTAGTGACTGCACTATTATCGTAAATCCATCAGCGACCAAATTTGTGACAGGCTTTGACAAATTTTTAAGGCCCTCAAAGGAAAAATGCCGCCAAAAGGCGACTGTGCAACGGTTGAGTTGTTGGTTTTTGCTTTGGCAGGGTTGCCAACAGGACAATGGTTGGCTTACTGTTGCCTCATATGTATATGTAGTGAAAGTATAAGCATTTGTGAAAATGTATGCCTGCGCTCAAATGCCGATGAGGAAGTCGTAAATTCAATATATATTTTGCCATCAGTAGGGCAAACGGCGGCAAGGACCTAAAAACGATTGTCGAGTGGTCTGCAGAATTGCTCAGTTAAGTATGTGGAACCCAGTAGAGAAAATCATCTAGTTCTGAACTGGCCAGCTAAAAATTTTACTTTCAATTGAACTGGTATTTTCAGCTTGGATTTGGCTTACGAAATGTATCTGCCAGTTAATGAATACGTCAGCGTCGGCATCGGCATCATAATTCTATAAGTTACAAAAACTTTCATCTTGTTGGTAAACTTAGGCTATTTTGTCGATCGCAGCCATGTGCAGTTCCATAAGATTACTATTGAAAGAGGCAATTTACGTAATCCGGTAACTACCGGCTTTTGGGCATGATGAGGGTGGATTTAGGTTGCTCTGCTTCACTTGTGGCACTACTTTTGACAATGCAGGTTGGACCGAGTTCTATTGCTACTTAGTGATTACTTATTTTTCATTGTTTTCGTCTATGATGCCTGTGATATTCCGATCTTTTGTTATCGCAGCAAAGGTTCGAGTTCCGACTCCGTGCGTTTTGGCAAATTTCATTGATAGTAGAAGTTTTGTTCAATGCTCGTGGGGCTTTAACGACCTGCACCTTTCCGAACTTATTCTGTGACTAAATCCAAACTAATTGAACTCATCCATTAAATGTACTTCTGCACATGTACGAGCCCCTTCTGATCCCCCTGATCGGTGAGCCGACGATTGGTACCTTAGAGTTGTTTGTTAGGCAGCTGTGCTCTGATGAAGCTCTTGGACTGCAGGTAATCAAGTTGAATGTGTGCTCACCCACAGCAGTATCAACAGCCGGTATACGCTGGATGGTGGGCTACTGAAGCTCAGTATTTTCCCTGCAGACCCCTCGGTTTGTTGCATTTCTGTGTGGGAAACTATTCTTTGGTTTTGTCATTCCAGGAAGCTATGATATTAATGCGTGTGAATGGAATTGACAACTGCTATGTGCCATAGTTTAAGGCTATATGTATCTTAGGAGAGCTAGGCGTAGCGGATACCATAGTTGGCCTAAGGAGTGGCGTAGAAAGAGAGTCAACCGACAGATATGAGTCCCTATCCGAAGCATTCGGTTCGTTACTGGATTTTTGTACGGTCCCAAGCCAAGTTTATCCTCGGCACGGGCTCTAAAATAAGTGAGGTGAAAGGTTTGTGTCTTAAGGTAAGCTCGCGAAAAGCTTTTCTTAAAGTTTTTATCAGAAAGTAAGCCATTGTTAGCTAGCTGTCTCTTAGTACGCACTTCTGCAATATTTTGATGAATTAAATTTTGCCATAACGAACCATAGAATATTTGGTCTAATTTACCTTCTCGATTTCATAGTTTATTCTATCAGTCAAGTAAAAAATAGAACACAGGCCTCACTGATGTTGCACTCGAAATTTCTTCCTTCCGATGAGTAGCGTCGGAATGTGTTCTAAAAAGACTTAGCCCCTTGGGCGTTGTGCCTTGAAAAGCTATTTACGAGGTAGTCTTAAAGCCTAAACAGACGGCAGCGTTGATCCGGATTAACTCGGACTTAATCCGGATCAACTGCAATTAATTCCCGATTTGATTCTTTTCCCGATTTGAGAAGTACGCATCAATATATACATTTGTATGTTTTTTTTTGCTTATATTTTATTGCACCTACTTCTTAGTTATTTAGAAATAAATTATTTAGTTAAAAATGTAAAATACACTACCGTTTTTGATTCTCACTGACCCATGTCTTCCTTTCAGTATCTCTCAGCTGGCGGTGCGCTCTCAACTCTACATCCCATATCGCAATCGCCCATTGCTGCTACAACGCCCGCTCACCCGCCCGCCTCGATCAGTCCCCCATCCAATGGACACGACAGCAATGTTAGTAGCACCGGTGGCGGTGATCATAATAGCGGTACATTAACACCAGATCCAGCTTCGCAGCCCTCCAACCATGATAGACCTTGTGCGGCCGGTAGTAGCGGCAGCGCTAGTGGCAGCATCGACAGTGGTTCTCTTGAGCCTTATGCCACATGTCCAACGGCCGGTACAATGGCGAGCATACCACAACCGCAACAACACCCGCTCGCCTCTACTGCAATTTGCTGTGATAATGGACGACCCGTTATGACAGATCCGATGACGGGGCAAACGGTTTGTTCGTGTCAATATGATCCAACCCGTCTGGCGTTAAGTAGTTATGCGCGTATGCAATCGGCGGCAGCAGTGGCAGCATCAGCAGCGGGCGCTCAAACGCCCACTGTCGGCGTATACGGCACTCCATATCCATCGAACGAACAGAACCCGTATCCCAGTATTAGTGTGGACAGTGGACCGTTTTACTCGAGTTTGGTAAGCTAATTTTAAAGAAACATAGTTAATTATTTTTTATAGGTAAACGAAGTATGNATTTTAAAGAAACATAGTTAATTATTTTTTATAGGTAAACGAAGTATGCTTATATGAAGAATTCCTGTAATACGCTACAAGTTAGACGCTTTTCTTCTTTGTTTCAATTGTACCACTCAGCCGCCTATTTCGGCTTCAGCAATTTTAGTCTAAAATAGGATAGTCAGTTGGACACTTCTGCTCTCTAATGCCTTACGGTGTTTTCGAGGGCTCGCCCTAGGTCGACGAATGCCTAAAGCACCGATTCTCCAATTTCGAAAGCACTCTGGACTTTATTAGTCAAACGGTTGCTGATATGAAACTTACCGTAATAATTTGGGCTTTAAACACTTATGAATAGCTGTATTCTTTTAGAATATTTGCGCACTTTTCCAAGCCAAGCTTATGTTCATACATACATATATATTAGTTCCACGTGCACACGTATGTATGTACATATATTGATCATCGGAATACATATATATGTATGTATGTATGTATGTATGTTGGAATAAATTCACTTCCGCTCTTTTCAGATCTGCTATTTACATGCGGTTTGTTGTCTATTTCTTGCTTTATTGCATTTGTTTTTATTTTCCCTTTCGAATTTGTTTTCCATATTTGTCGTTTCGTTTATAGACATGTAAGTATTTTGTGTACATTTGTTTTTCTTACTTTGCGGGCATTTGTGGCTAATTCTGGCGCACACCATCACCCCTCGGCAACAACAAACACCTCGCCATGCCAACGCCAACACCATTGTCCACACAGTCATATTCTGGGGCAAATGTCTGCAGAGCCAGCGAAATGTCACTGTCATTTTGTTTGTTGTTCGTATTTGCTTTTGTTTTTAATATGGGGTCCCTACATAGTTTGCATGTTGTTGTTGTTTGTTTTGCTGCGCTTTTGCTTAATATAATCGCACATTTTACTTACACTACTTAATGTTTGTGTACACATCTCTCTATATATATATACACACTAGAGTCCAGCGCAATTGTATTTGCCGCATTTCATTCAATA